CGAAATTGCTGAAGCCTTTCACGACTGTGCGCCAAAGTGGTTCTGGCATGTAAAACTTGAGAAATTACTTGTAAAGGTGACGTTTGGTCGAATGCGATGTAAACATGTCAGGTAATTGCATTTACACCAGCAAAAAGAACTAAATAAATAATGAAAAAAGAAAGAAAGAAAAAGAAAGAAAGAAATGAATGAATGAATGAATGAATGAATGAATGAATGAATGAATGAATGAATGAATGAATGCGCACGTGTATCAAATAAAGACAAAAGAAATGTATTAAGTTGTTACATGTCAATACAAAAGACCTACATTGCATTAATTACCCCTCCTAATAAACTCCAGTAAAAAAATTTTAAAAAACCGTGAATGATTAGATACACCTGCAAAAAAGAAAAGGGAACACGAGGGGCGCAAGTTCCTTTTTATACATGTATTAATGAAAAATTAGGTGGCAATGATCACCGTAATGTTTACTGGCGGCGCTGACTGACACTTCCACGTTTAAATACACACATATGCCCTATAAAGTGGACGATGGGATGACCGCCGCCGTAGGTCAGTTGGTAGAACATGGGACGCGTTATTTGAAGGTCGCAGGTTCGAACCCTACCGGGGCCAAGGTATCTTTTTGTGGAGTTTCTTTCTTCACATTTTGATTACAATTACTATCTATACCATACCTCATACTTACCTTGGCGTCATTGTCTGATAGTTATCATTATTATTTGGTCTAACAAAGCAAACTAGCCCTTAACATTACAGTTATTTCCTTTTTTTAACCGGGTGTAGTATATGTGATGGCAAAGCACAGTCACCTCTGGCGTGTAGATATCGAGAGAGAAAAACGCCCACCAAACGTTTCATAACTGCTTTCACCATGAAAGAATAACGTTGGATTTTAGACGTTGTAGTGGACGAAAGAGAGAACAAATACACCCGTTCGTTGGGCAAGCTGTTCTTATTCTCAGCCTCCTCTTCCTTCTTTTCTACCTCGCTCTCGCTACCCGCGCGCCGCAGCCCCAGCGTCTTCCTTGGTCATGACAACGCAAAAAAAAGTGTTGAAAGAAAGACGTTCTTACATGTCTATATACTTGAGCACTCAGTCATAGTTGTCTGAGTACAGCTGAATCACCTTGGTGAATCACCTGCAGTTCCACAACGGTGACGGGGACTCACATTTTTGAAGAAATGAGATTTTCTTTCTTTCTCTCTCTCTCTCTCTCATTGAAGGAAACGAGTGCAGGTTTAGAGAATGTCAAAAGTAAAGAGACAATAAAGGTACGGGATTGGGAGCAGGGGTAGGAAGATTCTGCCTTGTGGCGATGACCTTTCCAGTGAATAATGCTCGACTCTCGTTGAATTAAGTTGTGCGTACCAAAACACCGCTTTTTACCTAATGTTTTTGCATGCATTCTTCTTTCATATATACAGCATCTGTAACAGTTCTCTCGTGTTCCCTCTTTTAAAAAGGCATTTTTTGTTTGTTTGTACGTCTGCAGCTGTGTTTACGTGTTGGGCCGTCCGGAACACGCGTTATTTTTGCTGTCATTTTCACTAGCAGGTCTCCAAGCTCGTTACACTTCGCAAGTTGAAATCGATGATTTACTTAGTTTTGCATTACGTAGATAACCGAGTGAGCCCCTTTATTTCGGCAACAAACAGGCTATTGCTACAGTATGATGGAACTCGGCATGTGACCAGGCTACATGATGCTCGGCTTAGACGGATTACCTGCACACACCATGACGAAAATACGATTGTTTTGATTCAATTCTTTTGTTTCAGAAACGAAAGATTGCGCAAGAAGCGCACCACATCAAAGGCAGAGACCCGTGCAGGTCTCGTCGTTTCTGTCTTTCGTGTGCTGCGTCTTTTACTTAATCATTCCTTTCTGAAAGAATGCACAAATTGACTCCTAAACGTGTGCTACTACCTATTCATACTCGCCCATGCAGTGTGCTACGGTTTAATTGATGTCCCCAAGTTTCTGAACACCTGTGACTGGACTTCAGACAAACGGCGTATAGAAATGAAGCAAAAGCTCCTAATTTCGTGCCCCCTATATTTGAGCTTGATTGATTGATTATTATGTGGGGTTTAACGTCCCAAAACCACCATATGATTATCAGAGACGCCGTAGTGGAGGGCTCCGGAAATTTCGACCACCTGTGGTTCTTTAACATGCGCCCAAAAATGAGCACATGGACCTACAACCTTTCCGCCTCCATCGGAAATGCAGCCGCTGAAGCCGGGATTCGATCTCGCGACCTGCGGGTCAGCAGCCGAAGACCTTAGCCACTAGACCACCACCGCGGCTGGGCTATATTCGAGCTCAAAAAAATTCGTAGGTAGTGATGCCTTAAATGCCCACGAACTTTTTTTTTACCAAAAAAAAAAAATGTGCCTTATTCACTATTTCTCGTCTGAACGATAGCGAGTCTCCTATTCTGTTAAAAAGGTGCGAATACATGTACTCTTTTGTACGACTCGCTTGGTTCACAAAGGCCAGCCGACGGAGATTAACCGCTTCGCCCTTGTTCCGAGTCCTTGAGTACATGTCGCGCTCCCTATTGCAGCGCGTACTTTCCAAAACGTTTTCATCTCCGCAATGCACTGCACAGAAATAAATTGTTCCAAAACGCTGCTTGCGCGGCACACAAGATAATATAGTTAAGAGAAGTTAACAATACAACTGCGACTGAGGGAAAAAAAGTGAGCCTTCCGTGCGCGGCGTGCACAATACGAATATAAGCGTTGGGCGCAGCTGCTTTTCACTCAAGGAGAGCTGAAAACGATAGCTCAGCGTGCCTCCGCTTGCATTGTCCACGAAGTAGAGAATGATATTTCCTTACACAAGCGCCGGCATGTGCGTTCTTCATTGATAGCACAACGCAGGCAGCAACCTTTTCAGTGCGGTGTGCGCCACGCAGCGGCTGTGCTTGCTGTTGGAGTCTCGACTTCAGGCGAGGTATACAGTCATTACAGACGTATCCGCGCACATGCGAGACGCGGAGAGCGCTTTCGACCGACAGCCCCAACGTATGCCGCCCAGGCAGCTCTTGTCTCACACCCGCAAGTGGCTGCTATAGCCATGCTCCTCTGATTCATAGCGTTATATTTATACAGCGCTGCATTTGTATTATTCGCGTATGGTGCGAGATGAACGGATCGTCGGTATTGTTTGTTCCCGTAGTTTCATTGTCTTTGTTCGGAAGGATCATTGATGTAGTACAGCAGCGGGTAGTTACCGCGCACACTTATAGCAGACAAAAAAAAAAGAGCTGCAGCTGGTGAAATCGGTGCCTTCCACGTTTCGACGCTGTCTCTGTGGTTGGGCTTGAAGGAGGTGGAAAGGGTAGTGCCGACGTGTGACCTTTTAATTGACGTGAGTCACGAATAGCGATTCTCTGACGGCCGTCGCTTAAGTACGAGCCGCGTTGTGAAACGAACGGGCGCTGTTTTACGCTAACACAGCACTGAGACGGTGAGTCACAAATGCCGGAGAGCGAACTCCTATAGCGTAGTAATAAAGAAAGAATGAAAACTGCACGAAATTGTGAACAGGTTTATTTGCTGTCACCTACAGAGTTTTGAGAAGACTGCATGACTTACTCCTTACTAACCCGATCACGTTTAAAAGACGATCATGTCGACATTAAACTAATTTTCATTACGAAGACTGCACACACATCTCTGAAACGAAAAGAGTATTGAAACAATTAGCCATGCTGTATATATTTAAATACGTTTACTACAGGGCTAGATGCATGAATGTTTTGATTAACTCAATTTCATGGGTTATAAAAAAGAGTATTTTGATCTTTTTTTATATTTGAGTCAGCAGCAACAGTGGCCTCTCTGAGCGTCTGGGCGAAAGTTCTCACGCACTCAAGAAATGAGTGACACTCTCGAAAGCTGGAAATATGGTGGTCGCCACTTGCCTAGCGCAACGGACAACACTCTGAATTTTGTTACGTGTGTGTTGTTTAAATTGGCATAATTACGAGACTTTTTTAAGCTCTTGTGATACGCTGCTATGTGTTGTTGCATACGGAATAATGTATTAGTTCGTATACTACTGTGGACAGAACTAGAAATGCATGCTTGTGAGCCTTTTATTGTAGAGTGAACGCGTGCAAAAAAAAAATGAAGAAGCTGTACACTGCCATGTTATTTTAACTTGTTTCAGTGTCCTGTTATTAGTGTTTTTCTAGCTGCTCATTGTTCATTTGAGGTAATCTTTGTCGCTGAAGAGTTTATAGATATGTGGGAAGAAGCGGAGGTAATATGAACCTCAACTTCTCCACAGCAAGAAAGTTACAACAGAACAGAACAGAAACCTCTGTCTGCGCCAATATTTACTCGGGTTCGCTTCCATTCATCTCCCAATTTGTATTAACCGGGTGCACTCGATGAAAACGACGTCATTTATTCATGATAAAAACATGATTGACGCGTCGTAAAAATGCATCTTTATCGAGAAGATCAATGCGAACATCAGTGGTTGTTATCTACGCAAACAGAAGACACAGGCGTTACGTAATAAGACACTTGGACTGATGCGACTGGAGACTGTAAGCGGCTGCATTCCGACGACTAACGTCCATGATCAATTATTAAACGAACCCCGGTGGTAGATGTATAGTAGTTAACGGCGAGAGCGGAATCGGAGAAATTGTTGTGACAGACAGGAAAGCCGTCGCTGATTGGATTCCGAACTTGGGCAAAGGTTGCGTACTCGTGGCATGTTAGAATATTGAACGCCACTGCCCAACCAGAGAGAAAGGCAACGCGCCAACCAGAGGGAAAGGCAACGCAGTCAGCCAGCCGCGATTTATCGCGAGGCAAACGTAAGCGAATAACGATGAGTTTAGTCAAGCAACGCAGAACGATTTTTGGCGTGAATGTATGCTATCTAGCCTGTCTCTTCTTTATTTTTTTAATTGCTGATGTACGTGCACTGTTGCGAGTTTTAGGGTGGTTTCTTTTCGACACGCAGGAAGTGCTTCTATCCACCCGGTGGTTACGGTGACACAGAACTACGGCGACTCGACCGACTCCTCACCCAACCAGAGCCAAGTCTCCCGAAACTCTTCCAGAAAGTCAAACAGTTCCCTACTTGTGCACAGCGGTAAGTTCACTCATATCCACTACGACGCGCTTCATGTCGCCGTCGTTGGCGCAGTTAATTGTTTCGGAAGCAACGTATAGTGCCTTTGGAATGCTAGACTGGCCTATAATTATAACCTGTTTGTGAACGAAAGTGCCCGAAAAATATGGAGAATATTCTCCAGTCTACGGTGCCACATTTCCGTTCATCTGCGTTTCAATAGCGTAGCTAGCCAGAAAACTTAGCTCAGTGGTCAATTCTTTTTTTTTTTCTGAGAAATATCGCAACTTTGTGCGTGAAATTAAAGTGTAGGTGTGTGTGTGTACATTTTAATTTTTTTCGCAATGCGAGGCCTGCGCCACCTAATCTCTTGCATGTCACGCACGTGAAATGTTTCATTAGGCGCTTGTGAGAGTGCTCCACGCCTTTGAAAGCCAGTTTCTCACCAGTGAAACGTTGGCGAAGAGGAGAAACAAGCTTCATTGTTAATAAACCTGAGTAAACACCGAAGCTGCCGGGCAAGCGCAACCACCTGACCAACGAATATTGCATTCTTTCTAGCTCTTTCTTCTTTGTTTCTGTATTTCTTTCTACGTCGTCTTCCTTGTTCTTTCCTTTGTCTTCCTTTACGTTTTTCTATGTTACCCTCTCTCACTCCTTGCCTCTCCTCCTAACCCTCGCCTCTCTTTTACTTGACTTCACTTCTCTTGCGCACTCTTTCCTATATTATACTATATTATGCAGGGCTATGCCATAGTTCACCCTTTCACTACCTTTCCCTCCTCCTCAACCTCACTCTTTTCCCATTAGCCTTGCTATATAGAAATAAACTAAGATGACAGAAAGGCAGAGGGGTCAGCCAGAATTACCCCACACTAAGGGGAGGAGGAAAGGTAAAAAATGGCAAGGAAAGTGTAGAAAAAAGTAGACGCGCTAAAAAAAAAGGAACAAATGAGATAGCGGCACAAACTGCTGCTAGCTGCTGTGTTGGCGCGCCTTGACGACAAAGCCGTGTTAGAACAGTGTTCGAACGTCGACATGATCTAGTCTTCGCACCGAAAATCAATCAAAGCATCGTTTAGCTTTTTGCGCGGCAGTGGCCGATTGAATAGGCTATATAGCCCTGCTCTTTAATTTGCTTGCTGCACTATACGCATGTCTATACAAACTGATTGGCACGCACCCGCTTACTGTGGCACATGACTGCCGAATTTAGCGCTCAAGAAAACGGCGCTACTATGCTAGTCCAAACACCTCCGGTGTTATCTCTTATGACAACACTATAATCGTGCCGATCCTGCGGAAAACAATATACATATGCTTAGCTTTCTTGTAATCTTTAGCTGTATGTGCGAAGAGGGGACGGAGACAGAGAGAAAGAAGGATTCTTATTTTTTTACTGAGCGCCTGGATCTGTACCTTAGGCGCAACTATACAGCTGTCACTTCGTGGGAAGCCATTCTATTTCTCTCCCGCGTGTTACATTCATTCGTGGGTGTACGCGTACGTCACGGCTGTTCTCCCACTCCAACTGCGCCTAACGCGATCTCGCAAGTCGTCGGCGTCTCTCTGCTGCTGCGGTTTGCTTCTCTACGGTCGCACCTGCACTCTACTCGGAGACAAATGTGCGCTGTGCGAGTGGCTGAAATGTCAGCAGTCCTTCGTGGAACACATTATGACCGCTGTTCGAACAAGGCTCGTTCGGCGATCGAATGTTTTTGAGCTGCTTTCACATTTTCAATAGAGATGAACGCTGGACGAGCGGGTGCATGCGTGAAATATCAGACTATGGTTAACGTTTCCGTAATGGGACATTTTCTTGTCATTTCCAGACATGTTCCTCAGCCCGTTGTCTAGCTTTTTTTAGCGTTTGGCGTCGTGCTAGTAGTAGTAGTAGTAGTAGTAGTAGTAGTAGTAGTAGTAGTAGTAGTAGTAGTAGTAGTAGTAGTCGGTTCATTTGGTTTTGACGAACATATAAATGAGTCACTCGGAAAAAAAATCCCGTTTCATTTGTTTATAGTAAGCAGTAGTAGTAATAGTGGTAATAGTAGTAGTCGTAGTAGTAATATTAGTAGTAGTAGTAGTAGTAGTAGTAGTAGTAGTAGTAGTAGTAGTAGCAGTAGTAGTAGTAGTAGTAGTAATCCTCACGCGTGTCACATGATCCGAAGCGCAGTGCTTCGCGTCGAACGAGAGGATTACGATTCTGACTTTTTGTACCGAAAGTCATTATCATCATCATGACAGCTTGTCACCTGATAGTTTTCACGTGGCACAACTTGTGTGTGTTTGTGTGCGCGTGTGTACGTGTGTGTGTGGTTGTTCATGTGTGTGCGTGTGTTGCGGAGGTTAAAGGTGCTGGAATCGCCACCTAATATTACAGTCTTTGTGAAGTCGGTCCGGCAGGCTAGCCTTTGCATATTTTTTTATGTTTACAAACGTGACCCAGTGCTGGTCGACGGGGCGAAAAAAAAAAGAAAAGAAGAAGTGCTTGCGAAGCGTATGATCCCACTTTCAGTGGTATATCGACAAGGCACGGCATTAGATCGTGAGAACATCTAGCTCCAGTTGTCGCACAGCGTATAGCGTGTATTCGATATAGAACCTGCCAGTAGGCCTTGCCAACGAACCCCCTGCCCTTTTTGTCGCGCAGTGGACTTGAAGCCTCTCCGGAAAACGAGCAGCCACATCGATGTTCACACTGTGCGCGTCCCGCTCAAGGACATCATCTGCTACCTCTCACTCATGGAAGCCGGGCGACCCGAGGACAAGCTGGAATGTGAGTGTATACGCGTTGCGGTGTCTCGTAGACGTGTCTTACTTTCACGGTGATAGATGCGATGAGAATTACAGTCTTACGTAAGGCCTAGTTTGTACATACTTCCGAACGCGTGCGCACGGAGGTCAGGGGGGGGGGGGGGGGTGATGCCTTCATCCAGTTTATTTCGAGGGTGGCGCCAATTCTGCCCAATACTTTTGCTAAGTCGCAACTTTCACTTCATTTCTTACTGTCCAAAATATGTACACACATGTTTGTTTTTACATTAATGGCGACCTAAAACACATGTTGCACGGAAATATCTGCTCCGTCTTTTCGCACTGGCCATCTGCGCTTGCGTGTGTCTACTCTCATCAGACATTATCTATGACATGGCTACATGTGTACAACCTACTTTAATTGTGAAAAGAAAAAAAAAGAAATGCGGAGAAACACCCCGTTCTCCTGCAGCTCAAGCACAAGCGAGCTTGTATACCATCGCGGCATGAATTTCGGTTTGTCTTCGCAGCAGACACGATGATCCCCGTCTTCTTCAGATTCTAGAAGCGGTTGATAATCTTGCCTGACAAGTTACGGCTATGTAGAGGCAGGCTTGTTTGATATCCCGCATACGAGCGTAGCCTTTTCTTGTATGCTTTGTTTGTTCTTTGTGGTTTTATTTCATTCCTAATTGAATGGAACCGCTAGCAAGCTAACATGTATCCCACATTGGGCCCCTTTGCGCGTGCTGGCTTGTGCCACGCTTGTGGCGTTCGACAACGACTATCCGCAATTGTGTCCTCTAGAACACTGGATCGTGCACTTGAGAGAAACTGTGTACTTTATGCTTGCGCAAGGTCATGTCTACCACCGGAACAAGTAAACTTGTTGCGAGTTGTCTAAGCAGTTTGATTCTGCATATTTGCGTATTCACGCCCAACCTGGCATGAATACACTTTAGGCTCACAGGGAGTTTCCAATGAGGCCGGATAAAAAGTCGCTTCATCTTATGCATGTTGCCGTTGTTTATACCACACCTGCGTGCATCGTTTCGTTTCAGTCATGTTCAGATTGTACGACACCGATGGAAACGGTTATCTTGACAACAACGTAAGTATTCATATGAAATATCCCATCCCCTTTTTTGTTTGCTGTATTGATACTTCTTTTCGAAAGACGATCTGTCTTCAGTTCGTGGAGTGTAGGTGGGTGCTTGTGACGATGTAGATGAGCAGACGTAGCACGACAAACGAAGTAGGCGTTAGCTTATTTACTGCAATGTATACAGAACGTGCAGGGCGTCAACTTAACGTCTCGGTTAGTCCTAACTCGAAAGTTATGGCTCCATCTGCTAAAGACGTATGTGGCTAAAGTAGAGAACTTCCTGCACGGCCAAGTTTTCTCGCAACACGGTAAAACTGTATTTGTAATCCACGTGTCATATGTAATCTATCTTGCCTCAAGTGTTCCCCCAGTTGATGCTTGGCTCGCCGTACTCGTCTAATGCAACTTCAATGAAAACCGGCAAATCATGAAGCCAAGCAAAGTATAGGCAACGGTAAGTGTACAGTTAAGCCCGCGAGGCGGCTGAGGAGCTTGGCATCTCAGTCCCCACGTGGGAGCTGCCCGCAACACAGTGATCTGTGTTTTGGAGGACCAAACAAAAGTTTATCCAATCCAATCCAAGTGTACAGTTTCAGTGTAGTGTAGTAATTATCAATTATCAGTTTCAGTGTAGTGTAGTAATTAAAATATAGATTTGCATATCTCAATTGGGATATAGATGTATACTCACATCTGTATCTCAATCATTACGCCGCTCCGCATAGAACGGTACAATTAATGTCTCATATACCTTCCTTTGCTTCATTTGATTTTGGTTTTCATTAGGGCTGTGTCAAACAAAGAGACTAAGCCTCAAAATGTTCTTCTTTCATTCGCCTAATGCGGGCGTTTTTTGTGTTTTTTTGGGGGGCCATCCTTTTCAAGTTGTCGTCGTATTCGAATGACAGTGCTCCTTGCCCAATGACAGCAAACCTTGCCCAGTGATTGATGCTGAACTCTTGACCTTCCAGAAGCAATGGTGTTGTCGCAGATGCTTCGCCATCGCTTCAGCGCCTGTTTAGATAGACAGAGATTGGGTAAAGAGGAGAAAGCCTGCAAAAACAACTTACTGCTGTTCAAGCAGTGGTAGTGGCTGCAGTCTGGTGAACACTAACGATAAACTTTGTTGTGCCTTAAAAAAAAGAAAGTGGTTACTTTTTTTTTCTCTTTCGAAATTTGCGAACGTCTATTTTCAAAGTTTGCGTTTAAGGGTGTCGTCGGCTTCTGCACTAGCGAGCTGACACCGTAGCTATCATGCCTACGACGTCGGCAAACGAACTGAATTAATATTTTCGTTCGACGTATTAGTTGACGCCTTCTGTAACTCGCGTAAGGGCGCGCTCTTTTAGAGGCCCAGAATTCAGAATAAGGCTGTATTTAGAACGGACCTAAACTCAACCCTTTTGCAAGCACAATGGAGGCAACGTAAGCTTGCCAGCAATGCAAGACGCAACGCAGATACGTGATTTGCATACTGTTGACAGGAATCGCGTCGTCATCAAATCTAATGTTGAGCGTGAAAACATGTCAGGGTCTGTAGACACCGTCCTTCCTCATCACCTCACAGATAAAAATCAGCGAATAAATAAATAGCTTTGCTTTGCAACTGTCTGAAAAAACAACTATACTCGGCAATTGTGCTCGGTTGGCCAACGACAATAACGAGACTGAGAAGTTGGCCTGGGGTGGCCTTTTTTTTCGTGTTGCAGGAATTGGTGGTTTCTATTCATGCAGCGAGTCCGCTATTGTAATGAAACCGCGTTTTGCGCTTGTTTTAGCTTAGGTCTTCGTGAGTCGTTTTGCGTTTTATCGTGCATCTTCTAGCGAACAGAATAAGAAGATCACGCAATGCCATTTCTTTGTTTTCAATGGCTTATTTCCTTATTTCGTGCAGCGATAACATTGAGTCTGATAAAGTATGGGAAACCGTGAATTAAGAGGCGCCTTTTACCAAAAGTAAAGTTGGGGACCCTGCAGTATGGGAGGCCTCGATTGATTTAGAGTCTATGCCGAGCCTTTGTAATTCGACTAGGGGCTGAAACAATGTGCGCCGATCGTCGGCATACATTTCAAACAGTTCGGTTCGCCAGTGAGTGAAAGAGACGGGCACATTTGCATGAAGCTCGGCGCCGTCAACTTAATTAGCTGCATTATAATTAGTTTCGCATCGACGTTTTGGTTCGTGACGCGAAAAATTGGGTGGAACAGAAAGCTCGAGCGGAAAATCCAAGGTAACGCACCAGCAGAGAATCTCGCACCATTCTTTAACATTGACTGCATAGCGTTTTAATTTGTTGTCTTGTTCCCAGCTTCGTTTGCAAGATATTGTACTGCGAAGGGAACAAGCTTTGGTACGTGCCTGCTCTTAAGTCTTCGTGCGTAACAAGCTTGTGTTATCGCTTGGTGGCTTCCAGGAGACAGAGTGCATAGTGAATCAAATGATGAGCGTCGCCGAATACCTGGGCTGGGACGTGTCAGAACTGAAGCCGGTAAGTGAAAACAATGCGAACACTGCTGTTCTTTCTCGCGTCTGTGGTTGGTTCTTGTTTCGTGAACTGCGTTGTCTTGTTGTCTTCGCTGTGCTCACGTTTCTTTACGGCGTTGAAATCTAGCCAGTATTTTTGCCATTACGCAGCGCATCCTTTCGCTTCGCGCCACTGGATAAATGCTTGCTTCGCCTCGTTCTACAAATACGCGAGTGGAGATGATGTATGCAAATTAATTTTCTCGCAATGTGCCGCGACTGGTAACAGAGGCATCGAATCGCCAAAGGGTCGAGCCGCGTCGCTGGAGTCGACAATAATAATCATTCGCACTTGTTTGCTTTCCGCCTGAACAAGAATTTGGTGTACTGATGTACATTGTGCTTTTATTTACATTTTGATATACTCAACTAACACTTAAATTCTGGTTTCATCATTGTATAACTCATCGTTAGTCGTTACAGCTGTAACGCCCCGTTCAAGGCCAAGTCAAGAAGAGACCAACTTTTTTAGTAATACCTCGTGGGCAATAATACACCATTCGTTAAAACAATTACCTAAAGGGACACCAAAAACTGCTTAAATGACTATCGTGGACGCGTCTGATGTGATTCAGTTGCGAATCGTCCACACGTGCCATTTTTGACCACAATGGCGACAAAGGAGTCCTGAAGTTGCATTAAAATGTCTTTACTTCCCCTCATTACCCCGGAAGCCGCGGACCAATGACAGGCCGGTGTTTAAGCCGGTGTTCTTAGCCGGTGTTTTTAGCCGGTGTTTTTAGCCGGTGTTCAAGTGCCCGCGTGCGGGTGATCTACATTTATCTCTCAAAACTCGAATTTTTTCAACGCAGATTCTACAGGAGATGATGGTGGAGATTGACTACGACGCCGACGGCACTGTGTCGCTCGAAGAATGGAAGCGCGGCGGCATGACCACCATTCCGCTGCTTGTTCTGCTCGGGCTCGATGCGGTGAGTGACCTTTGAGGCAGCTTGTAGCACCTCAGGTGACCCGCCGCAATGAATCAGTAGTCGAGGGGCTCGACTGGTGACCCACAGGTTGAGGCGTCAAATCCCAGCCACCGCAGTGCCCTCATTTTCGACGGAGACTAAAAGTGCTAGAGGCTCACGTATTCGAATTTCGGTGCACGTTGAAGAACACCAGGTGGTCGATCCTCCACTATTCCTCACAATCAGGTCGTGGTTTTCAGGTGTTAAGCCCCAGAAAGGTGTATCCTACTATAGGTGTACCTGTTATCGTCGCATATCGTGCATCTCTGTCCATTCTTGATTCATGACCCAATAGTCAAGGGATGTGATCTTATTGAATCACGTTCTTTTTTAGTTTTTTTTTTCTGCACGAAAAAATTTTTATTAACTTCGTAGCTATCCCCCTTTGTGTGAGTGGTTGTACTGGACGCGCTTCCAATAATTAACGCGGATGTCTTCCCCCTCAGTAACCGTGTCGTCGTCTTCTCTGCAGAACGTCAAAGACGACGGCAACCACGTCTGGCGTCTCAAGCACTTCAACAGACCCGCCTACTGCAATCTCTGCCTGAACATGCTTGTCGGACTCGGAAAGAAGGGACTGTGCTGCGTCTGTAAGTTACGGCGCGTCTCCCCAGTAGATTTTTGCGCAAGTATAGCGGACAACGCTGCGGATGATGATGACGATCACGATGATAATGAAAACAGGGTATCTGTTTCGGGACACCTTTGAGAACCTCTGCGACAGCCCGCTGAGCGAGCGCCCGACAGACCTCGGGTGTGCTGTCGCGAAGGATGCCTCCTGGCTTCTTTGGAGTATATCAACGCCGACTAAATTTCAAGGCTGAAAGGCTGCCGCAGTGACGTCAGAGGTTGGGGGCCCAGTTGCCCAACTGAGCATGCTCAGTAAGACTTTTCTTTCCACATCTTTTATTCGGCCCAATCAAGCTGCAGCAGCTGCGAGAGCGGGAGCGTTGGTTCTCCTAAAACGTGAACGAAACACAGGCTTTCCGCCGCGTTCGCGGCGTAACTGGGCCTTCACGCTCTGACGTCACTGCGGCAGCCTTTCGGCCTTGAAATTTAGTCGGCGTTGAGTATATCCGGGTGGACCGAAGGATCGGTGGGAGGCGAGGGAATCAGGTGGTGGTGCACTCTACGGTGCGACGGGAAAGGTTGTGGGAATAGCGTCGCATTCTTTACAGACTTCGGTATAACGAGTTGGAAATAGCTTACGTTTTTTTGGGAAAGTTCGGGTCTGCAGCCGGCGAAGAGCGACAGCCTCCTCTCAGGTGAAGGATGCTGCGGAAGCAACGCAAAAACTTAGGCTATGAAAGCGTGCATGACATTGTGTTTTGTCGTAAATCACTGTTGTTGCAAGTATGACGAAAAGCTTGCTCGGAATTCATGGTCGATGATTCGTGATAATTCATGGATTAAAAAATGGGTCAAAGACATAAGGCAACACGAACGCCGACTGAAAAGGTGCAAAGGGCCGGAAAGGATAGTATATTCTTTCCAGATGATATCGTCAATGAAACTAATGGTGAATTTTTTTTTTGCCTGTAGCGATGCCCTCAATATTTCTGTCAATAAAAATGGCTTGTTGTCTAGAAGCGTTGTAAAGTGTAAAATGCATGATTGTGATGTTTATACGTTGAGTAATTCAATATCATATGGAAGTTTTTCTCCTTGAAATATATTGTGTGTTGTTGTATCTCTTGTAAATATTGTTAATTATGTTATGTTATGATCAGTTTCCACCCATCTCGACGCAGTGCCTAACGGCGATATAGCGAAGTGCAAACAAAATAAATGTAAAAACTTGCCCTCGCTTCCGTAGGCATTTGGTCACTTGCTTGTCCGGCGCACGTAGGGGTCTACGCGCGAAGTAACTCATCATTAATTTATTTTTTTTCTTTACGCAAGTTAATCCACGAATAACTCACACACGCTCCCTCTTATCTAGACGTCAGGAATCAACCAATAAACGCTCGTCATAGTCCCATTTACTGGCTGATTCTATGCTGGTGTGATTAAAATGACACCGTACGTATGCGTTGTTTTGTGTCCTTTAATGATGACAGATCGCGCTATTTAGCACTGTATTTCCCTCGTTTCATTTTCCTTGCAGTTTGCAGGTACACTGTCCACGAGCGCTGCGTGCAGAGGGCGCCTGCTTCCTGCATTAACACATATGTCAAGTCCAAGAAAAGCTCGCAGGTATACCTTTCTTAATGCATTCTCTGTCCTCAGAATCGAACGCGCACGCCATGTGCGGTGGGTGCTGTCTTTCTCGCATTCACATGGTGATAGCCGTCATCATCATTATCATCATCATCATCATCATCATCATCATCACAGTCAACGCGTTATATTTTCCCATGGTTCAGCCTTTCGTCCACTTCCATCCACTCCTGTGTTCTGTGCATTATTTACACTTTCTTTTTCAAATAAAACTGCATCATTATATCTGATAACCATAAAAAAATTACTTAAGCTTCATCAAAGTAGCTATTTGTGCAAGTTAGTAGACAATGAAGCCCTTATGTAATGCCCCCACCATGGAGTGTGTAAGACAAAGTTAAATGATAAAACAGTGCGCAACCTTCATATATATATATATATATATATATATATATATATATATATATATATATATATATATATATATATATATATATATATATATATATATATATATATATATATATATATATATATATATATATACAAGGTCATCGTGCCTCATGTACTAATACTGTAACAGATGACTTATCGATCGGAAAAAATTTAGGTTGCTCAAATACGTATATATACGTACTATATGCAGGAAAGCGTTAGCGTGTTTGTTAGCGTTAGCGTGTTTGTTAGCGTTAGCGGCTGTGGTGTACCCATCTTTGTCGAGAGCCGACACAGGCGCTCATGCGCCGAGTTTGCCGCACATGATGAAGTGCGCGGACGTTGAAAAATGATCTCCATTGCTTGCCGGCTATTTTTTTTTCCTGTCGCCCCTGTCTCGTTGTGGGGTGTTAAGCGCCATCAACCAAAAGAAGGAGCTTTCTTTGTTGTCTTCTCGCAGCGTGATTATACCGCCTCCTTCACGGCTCAACATACCGAGCGGTGTTCGCTCTGGCTCGAAGAAGTACGATAATCTTCCTATGTGGCTCTCCACAACAGATCCCCGCTTTTTCACGAGACGGATCTTACACGCATAGAAGCGAATGCTAAGAAAACAAAACCCGGGAATTTATGTTAATTAGAGGGTATAACGGTGACACGTGTGAGCTCTTCAGAAATTCATTAGCATTTCATCATCGTTACAGCGGGCAGAGCCGCTGGTGGCACTTTCTTCACGCGGTGGTTATTCTTGTTATTTTTTTTATTTCCACGCTGCCACTTTTGATGCTGTATACTTGTTTTTGTCTCAGTGTTTGTTCTCCCGTACTTCTTTCTAGGCCCCGGCTGTGTTTGCATTATCTCTTTCACCACTTTCTCCACGCAACTCCTGTAGCTCGTTTTCCTGCCGTGTGGCGCCAGCGAATTATCGCAGTAATTACGTGTTGCTCAGATCGCTCACATTATTCGCATTTTGTGTGCGTTTTATCGATCACACCGCCATAACACGAGAAAGGGGTGTTTTGTGTAGGGGTGTTCGAATACACGAAGCTGTGTCACTGTCTGGATCCAGGTCGTGATCGAAGAATTCGGCATCACGAAGTTATTCGAGCGCGGTGATTCATCAGGCTGCTGTCATATTTGGCAAAGCAAAGCCAGCTGTGGATGACGCGATACAGAAACGGGTGTGGATGGTACAAGAACTTTGATGTTAAGGGCGCAGAGGCCGAAGTTTCAACGCACCTCCCGATGCACTGTGATTGGTCGGGTATGCAAAAAACAGGATTTGCGTGCCATTGGTCGTATAGCTTTGCGACGGTCGCGTTAGCAAGCTGCTCCTCGTTGAATGCTACATCATCGGCTGCCACTTTTGTCATAAAAGCTGCATTTCTAAATCCCTGCGCGTTAAAAATGACTTGAAAGGTCCGACAGAGGAAATCATTTCTTTATAATCTGAGGGAGTTTCCCTTTTATCGTTCCCTGCCTTGGACATACTTTCCTAATTAATGAATCTATGTTCGTTACTTCCCGCCAGCATAATGATCGTGGAGTGTTCAGGCGACAAAATATTTAGCCAAGACTATGTTGCTCCCCAATGTAAAACTTGAGCGCAGCCGTATATACGCGGGTTTTCATCGGCTACATACTGAGACAAAAAATCTGAGGTGGAAGCGCAGTGTTGTAGAAAAGTTCTGAGCAGCGCCATTTACTTCAACCTTGTGCAACATGATCCTTTTTTTTTTCAGGCTCTGGTTCATCACTGGACGGAAGGAAACTGCACGGGAAAATGCAGCAAGTGCAAAAAGGCTATCAAAAGCTACAACGGCATCACCGGACTGCATTGTCGCTGGTGCCAAATGACGGTTAGCCTTGCTTTTTGCTTGAATGGTTCGCTTAGTATAAATATACAAACACTTCCCGTTAATTAATTTGCTTATCCAGTTTTTTCGCTGTTAAGATTGTTTCTCCCAGTAAATGGTGCTAATAATCTACTGTCCAGTGGGAAGCGTTTGCCTGTGACAGACAAATGCTTTCTAATGCACTGCTACCATTGGAAGATGAGCCGCTCTTCGTAAATATGCTTCTGGAACAACTTCCCGGTTGCTTGTTGGCTCGCAAGGCAGTTAAAAAAACACTTGTGCTTTGACTTTTGTATTGCGCCACTACAACATAAGTCAGTTCATTCGGGTCATAACCACAGCATACGTATCAGTGCATTCATTGATCATTTGCTTCTTTCCTTTTTTTTTTTTTTTGTCTCTCTAACACACACATTTAGACTCCCCTTTTCTATACACCCAGCGTAGGGCAGCCCACCAGACTAATTTCTTTTTTGACTACCCTGCCTTCTTGCTCTTGTTTTCTTCCTTCCTTATCTCTCCGTGCTATCTCGTTCGACTGAAAGCAAGCGGACGCAGATCCAGTGCTCGAAACTGAACGGCCTTGTAGTACACATGCAAGAGAAGTCAGCAGTGAGAGAGTTCACACTTGCTAAATCACTCGGAGAATTTCATTCGCGCCGTGCATATATCAGGGCACATCTGAAGCGCGGCGGCGTTTTCTCGGTAATCGGTTCATTTAACCCCGACGCTCGGCACCCGCATTAGTGACGTCCTATTCTAGCTGATTAAAAGAGTCACAGTTCAATCGCAAGGGCGAAGAAATCAATGCGATAACAACAACTCGGAATGTACCGTCTAGAACGGCAATCATATCGAAATGTGCAGCGCGCTGCTAACGCACAAATGACGCATGAAAACAAAATACACAGAATGAGAACGAACTAACAACATTTACCGGTCGACACTTCACGCCCTTTTTAAACAAAAACGACGCACGAAACGTAATCACAAGTACAGATAAATGCAAACTAACAGGTGTCCCAGTTGTGATACTCCGCTGCGTATGAAAAAGCACGCTCTTTTCGCAAATGGGGCCTGTGCAGCGAGTGAAGTGGCCTTTGTGGGAGCAGTAACGAATGCGATTGTTCCGGTGAAAGCAAAAGGCACACGATTCTCCCCACCGAAGAATAAACCCGCGCGCACAAGCATCTAATTTCCTCCCCCATTCGCGGGGCAGAGTGCGCGTGGGAGATAAGCGCGCGTCGGCACATCGTGATGAGCTGGGCGCCAAGAAGACGATAGTCTTTCTTAGGGACCTTCGACGCAAACATTTTGGTCTTTCTGTCTGTACATCTGTCTGTCCGCCCTTAACGGTACCCTAAAAAGGCACCAGATGGTACCACAAACAGCCGACCTCATCCGCAGCGCCCACCAATATTGCTCATGATTCAGCGTTCATACGTGTGCGATTGTCAATTAAAAAGCAATTATTGCGCATATCTGGGGCACCGTAACAACACGTCAATATTCTTTGTGTGTGTCTTTTACTAGAAAAGGCACACATAAGTAATTCTAAGGGCAGTAGCGTTTATTGCGCTGCGCTGAATCTGAAACGCTTGCACAAAAAGGCAAGTGTTTCCGACGCTTTGCTAAGACGACACGGTGGCGGCACCTATCCGTTGCCTTGCGTTCTACGCCTTATCACCCCCGAGACGGGCGCGCACGTCGCGCGCTTCGTTTTCCAAGATAACTATCAGATGGCGCTCATGTCTCACGTGTGACGTGACTTGATGCGCTCGTTCGCTTCTGCTGCATGCTCGAGGCCCTCTAATGCAGCGCCTCCAGAATACCATGTACCGATTTTCTTGCGCAGAACATCAAACAAACGTTTTGTTCACTCTGTCCAGACGCAGGACTATCGTCTTTTGACGACATTTTCAGTGTAACACGCAGGTACGGGGTCATTTTTTTCTTTATTTTTGACGTGTTCACAGTTGTAGGTAGATACGTATACATATACGGTGAGTAACGGCGTTGGCAGCGGCGACGGCAAAAAAAAAAAAAACAGCCGAGACTATCTAATAGCAATCACAATGAAACTGCGAGTGAACGATTCGGCTATGCTAGCCACAAATGTATATTTACGCTCGCAGCACTCTAAAGGTCTCGTGTTTTACGAAAGCGCTGATTGCATTGACTCTGCGAAAAAGGTTCCGGCCGCCCACGTGGACGATGACGTTCAAACGTGACAAACGGAGCCGCCCCTCCGGCTGTGCTCCGTTCTTCGCGAGAAATCGCTGCTCCTTCATTCGAACGCATTGTTGCCTCGTACTCGCAGTCTCTCGGGGGTAAATGTGAGACTACGGCGTTGTTCGTCGGACCTGTGCGCGATCGCTTAGACGTGTTCGTGCGGTGTGGTTAGCGGCCTCGCCGACGGTGCGTTCTAGACTCCAGATGCGAAGGAAGTGTTCACACGCCATTGGACTTGCCGCTCTGCGTCCCGCCTGCTTAAAACCCATGACGACGGACAGGTTTAATGAACCAGAAGACGCGCACGTGTTTACGTTCGCGCTGACGCTCGACCAATCGTACTTGTGGCCAAAAGGTGATGAAATGCGTGTATCGCGAGGGACGGTAAGTCGTCTCATTCTCTATTCATTGTGCCACAGTATATTCATGGGTTAGTTGTTCACTTTCGGGCTCTTGAGATGAGCTCATCGTAATTCTACCAGTCACACGTTTGGTGAATCCTAATTCGCCACATGTATGTCTCTCTAACTACAGGCGTTGTCTCCCCTTTTCATAACCCGTCATAGCAGTTTAGTGATTAGTGTGCCCGACGGCTGAGCCCAACGTGGCGGGATCGAATCTCGGCCGCAGGGCCCGAGTTTAGATTGGAGTGAAACTCTAGAAGCTCGTGTACTTAGAGTAACGTGCACGTTAAAGAACAACACGTGGTTGAAATTTCTGGAGCTCTTCGCTTTGGCGTCCTTCGTGATGGTACCGGGATCGCGGGACGTAATGCTACACCAATTATTGTTCTGTTAATTACCTTCTGGAGGATTGACGCGGATCTCTGAAGTAAGATTTACACGCATACACGTAGCAAGTCAGGACCTGCAGAAACGGTAACAGTTTTTTTTTTTCATTTTTACTTTTAGAGTACCTCGGCGCAATGTTTAAGCTGAATAAATATCGGTTCTGTAAGGTTCGGCGTAAAAAGTCACAGCATATCCACGGACTGAAAATGATGAGTGGGCAAAAATCAACCGTCCGTTCGTCCGTGTTTCCGTTCGCCAGTCTGTCCATTCGTCCGTGCGTCCGGACGGACGGATGAACTCTTAGCTCCACTCATAATCATTCACTGCGTGGATATGCTGCGATTTTTTTTTTGTATTCGTTTCATTTTATACGCGTTGTCACTTTGCCTCGTTTTCACGCGTGCGAAAGTCCCGCCTTAAGTGGACACAAGTGCAACAATGAATCGATTTACACTGATAAAGTCTTCTCTGAGAACTCAAATGTCGCCAATCTTACCATGATAATTTCATGAATAAAGAGAAAAGTCAAAGTACCATTTTATAATTTCGCGCTGAAATCCGCACGTGTGATGGCACGATATTCAAAGTGTAAAATTCGTATTTCGCCGACATAGGCTCGACTAAATTTCTCAAAACTTCGTATGTTAAGTCTCTGGCCCCATCGGCAGGCATTGAGCTCCATTTTTACTTATTAGTAGCTACTTAGTCCTTGATAAACACTGTCAAAATTTATGACGTCACAGTGCTTGGTACAGGAGTATCAAGGTGGCGTCGCCACCCGCGTTTCCACTTTCTTCTTGTACCTTTCTTTTTTTCTTTTTTTTTTGCTTTTGCTTGAAATAAACTTCAGCTTCACTTTGCGCGCTTTCTCGCCTACCAAGCGCCTTCTCATGGCGAGCGCGGAGAGAGAGAAAGGGAGAGGAAAGGCATGGAAGTTAGCCAAGTTTGGCTTGTTTGTCTGCCCTACACTTGGGGTGGAGGAAAGATGGAATATTAGAACGGAAAGAGATAGAGTGAAGAGAAGTGTAAAAAAAGAGAAGGTTAAATAGTCAGCGCGAAACTACATAGCATGGTCTCGTGACGCTGTTCTTTCACGAGCACCCATGCAGTCCGGTGGTTCTTAAGAAACACAAGAGAGCTTTCGTTGGTTTGCGCGTATTCGAGACCGTCGACCAAGGTACCAGGATCTTTTCTGTAAGTGGTGGGGAATCCAGGCGAGAGGGCTTGGCCTCCATAGCACGTCGTTCAGATTGGTATGACGGGCAGTGTGGCATGCGCAAATGTTGCATGCCGCACTGCTAGCCATTCCAATGAGACACGAATACGCATTCGTAAATGCGTATACGCCCAACCACATACCACACAGCAATGTTTCAGCGCGTTGTGGGAGCCCGGATGGCAAACGAAGTTGAAAGTTTTGGTCAATCGAATACGGGCGCGCGTTGGAAAAACCCTGCGTATTCTATTGTAGGAGCGCACACCGTGTAGGAGCGTAATACGGCGAGCAGGTGATTGTGGTCACCGGGCAGCGTCGGTTCTCAAGAGTGGTACGGCCGTCCGCAGGTCTTGGTCATTTAGCCGATCGAGCAGCTTAATGGATTTTGGAATTCTGAAAGGGTAATTTACTAATAGCAGAAAAATCGTTTTCCGGTTTAGTGTTACTTAAACGCGTACCTCAAACGCCAAGCGACGCCTGCGCCGGTATGCAATGCTGATTGTGCGAATCCATCAATTCCCGCATGGCTACGGGGCGTGCGCCCCATCGGATTAATTCGCGTAGGAGTACATGGGAAGAATCTCAGTCACCTTCGTGGCCGAGAAAAGTAGTCCACAAGTCATTGTGGCATCGTTACCAATACTACAAACTTTGACAGAGAGAGTTAGTTCTGTTAGGCAGTTTACTCAAAGACTACTCAAAGATCCGCCTTGGCCTTTGCCGCCACTGTGAATCTGTTGTACGCTACCCTTTAGTTGTCGCCT